GCAAGGCATGTTCAGCCTCCACCTGCTCAGGATGATGCAGCATTGGCTCATCACCCCTAAAATGGGTGGTGTGTCCTCTTCAAGCAAAGGAGCTGGGACAAGTCACTGCTCCTGGAGATCTGCCCTTGGCAACACACACACACACAACAGGCAACATGACCAGGAGGATCAAGGTCTTGAGTGAGGATAAAAAAAAAATTCCAGCCTGGAAGGAACGAAATTGTCATTTATGACACACACACCTCCCCAGTGAACTTTCTGAAGTACACGGTGTTTTAGGCTTGTTATCCTATAACCTTTAGGAACATATTTCATCATCTCTTCCCTGAGATAAGAAATTACCTCCCTGCAGCCAGACCCTGCTGGCCAGGCCTGGAGGCACCATGTGAGTCCAGCTGCCCTGGCTGTCACTGGGAAGTGGTGGTGGGACATCTACCACTGGGAAAGGAGGCAACAAACTCCTGGTGTGAGCATGGTTTGGGCACTCCAGTGCCTGCCCCAGGCTCTGCCTCGCTTTCTGGGGTGTGCTGGCCTCCTCTCAGGCACAAGTCACTCACCCACTGTCTGCACAACTCCCCATCCCTTGTCCATGTGTTTGCTGCCCACCACCCTCCACAGGGTCCGAGGGCAGCTGAGGAGGGATCCCAGCCATGGCCATGAGCTGCCAAGGGGTTACCTGTGGGCTGAAGTCAAATGGAGCAGGTCATTTCAAAGCTAGACAAGAAAAAGTGGCAGAAAACACTTCTAATAGGGGTGTTACGAGTTTGTTTGTCTTAAGGATAATTCTACCTGAAATTAAAAATGGGGGATTTTTTGGAAGGAAAATAATAGCTCAAATACATAAGCATTACTCTGAATGCTCATTTCATTTAGCTGAGGCTTTTTCAGTAGAGAAAATAAAATTTCAAGATTTCAAGTTTATACTGATTTTTTTTCTTCTTCTTTTTTTTTTTTTAATGGGGAAATTTGCTTATCAAAAAGGAAATCTTTCCACCTTCCTAGAGAGGTGGTCGATTCCCTGAGCATGTTATTGTTTAAGATGCAGTTGTTCAATGCCCTTACAAACATGCTGTAACTTTTGGTCAGCCCTGAAGTGGTAGCACGAGCACCGTGGGACAAATTGGCTTCCAGGGGTTAACCAGAGGAGCTGTTAAAAAAAAAAAAGCTAGAAAGCATGGCTCGGGCACACAAATCTGAGGAGGATTTATACATTTTTGTGTTGATTTTCTTGTGGCATTTTTCAGCCTGGAGTGTGTCCCAGCTGTCCTGAGACCAAAGCACCATCAGTGGGCTGAGAACAAGCTCTCATAGTATAAAATGACACAGAGATGCTCCAAGTCCCTGTCAGTTCGGAGCTTGAGGGCAGAGGATCTGCTGAGTCTCTCAGCCAGGCAGTAACTCTGCTTCCACACAGTTTGGAAAACAGAGATTTTTTTTCCTCAGAGACATTATAGCAAAAGTTGGCTATGAGGAGACTGGTTTACACTTTCCAAACCCTCCTGGTTCTAAGTTTGTCTTGCAACAGAGCCAAGAGCATTGCAAAAATGTGTACAGATAGCAATTCTGTGTGTGTTCTTGTGCTTGAGTACACCTGTAACTCCTGATTACGAGCCAAAAGAGTCAGAAAGCTTTTTTTTGAGTGTGTGAGTTTGACTTCCCACTAGCAAAGAGCCAGATTGACTACAACACGATGTCTGACTTGATGATTACAGCTTCTTCATTTATGAAGATGACTAATAAGTGGTTTTGGCCAGAAGCTTCTATTTTCTGACAATGGTAACTGTTGTTTTTTGCCTCTGAAAATCACAGGTGCTTTACAGATGTGGGTCTCTGTTTGAAAAGAGAGGGAAGATGTGTTGGCTTGCGAGGGTATTTGAAGCCAGTGGCAGATCTAGGTTTATTATTAAGACTTACTGGTTTCTTGCACTATCACAGCACCCACACACAGACCAAGGACTCCAACACTCCAGTTTTTCAGAGTACAAAGGACACCTCTGCCTCAGCACTGCCCTGGAGAGCTGACAGAAAGGAAAGATTGCCTGCTGCTCTGCCATGTTGCCTAGAAAATGGGCATCCAAGCTGTTTTAAACACCCTTCAGAAAGTCTTTGCTTCACTTTGCTGGTGCTGAACAATCTCATTCACAAGGGTGTGCGTGGCAGAGGATTGCACATACAGAAGGGTGGCTCAGGAGGGCAGGACCTGCCTGGTGTCCTTTGGACCACAGCCCAGAGCTGGGATGTGCCTGATTCCAGAACAATCTCTTGTTTGAGATTTATATATATATATATCTATATATCAAAAATATATTTTTTCTTTTTTTGCACTGGGAACCAGAGCAGCAGCTGGATGGCCCTACACGAGGCTCTGCTTTCACATAAATCCTTCCTGCGGGCTGGGGCTCGAGTGCTGCTCGTCCCTAACAGGCATGTTGCTGTATTTTACAGCCACAGGCAAATCCAGGAGATGATAGAGTGGGAAACAGGTAAATCTGGGGAGATTTTGCATTAGTGGGGTAGGTGATCTGCCCCACTGTGTCTGCCCTCTCACAGAAACCTTCACAGTGTGACAGGAGAATAAAAAGCAGTGTGTATGGTCTTGATAGCACAGGCCAGGCACGAAAGGTAAGGCTTGTCCTTCAGGTGTTTTCAGGGAGAAGGGGCAGTTTGCTGTAAAATCCACTGTCCAAACAGGAAAATTGAACAGTGCTTGACAGTGCTCCTCCTGATGGGCTCATACTCCTCACCAGCTCTCTGCTTCACTCCCATATGGAGCAGATGCTGTTGTTGCTGCTGCTCAGAGGCAGCACTGAGAGGAACAATTTCCATGTACAGTTCCTTCTGTGGCATTACACAACCCATGTATTAACACACACTAAATTTTCATTGCATGTTGGCTGCTGGGGGGGGGGGTATTCACGATTTTAAAAGGGCTGTTTCCCTTCCCAAGACATGCAGCTACACTATACCCTCAGTTTGATCTGATTATCAAAGCCATACTAAAAAATGAAGGGAGTCACAGGGCTGCAGGATCTCACAGTTTAAAAGAAAAAAAAAAAAGGGGGAAAAAAAGGGAAAAAAAAAGATAAAATCCCTTGTTTTCCAAGCTAAATAGTGTGAATCACAAGGCTAGGAGTAGCAATGTAAAGCTGGGGTGCACATACCACTGTCATGGTGCTGAGGGTTGTATGCAACAGGTCACAGAGGGTTCCTTGTAAGACACCTACTGTAAACTGAAACAACATTGGGATATAATATTCACTCTTATTCATTGCACTAGGGAGAGAAAAGGATTAAATCACACTTGAGACATCTGTCTGCCTGCCTCAGAAAACTTCATTTTCATGCTAAGTCTAATTTTAAAATGTCACCTTGAAAATGTGTGACATTTTAATGGGCTGATTGCCAAGATGCTCAAATCCTTTAATTTGCATATGAATCACAACATTAAATATTATGGGAAAAGTATAAAAACGTAGAATTATGAGAGAATGCCTTGCATTACCCTTGGTTAAACATGTGTTGGGAGGACTGTCTCCTAGAAATCTAATATTACAAAGGCAAATGAGATTAAAAAATGCTGTGGTATTCCCATTTATACCATTAGCTGGTTGTGATTGCATGTGGGTTTTTCTTGCAGCTGCCTAATAGCAGCCTGGGTGTTGCCTGTTCTTCGAATAAGCCTCACAGCACATTGCAGCATCATGAGGATGGGTTGCATTCCCTTCTCCCACACTTCTGACGCAGCTCCAAGAGAGTCAGCAGGATTTCATCAACGTCCTCTGATCATCTCTCTCAAGTAAACAGTTTTCAGGTTGCTTCAAAAAGTGATGGAGCCAAAATGGGCCCCAGGGGCCATAAATTCCCAGAGATCCATGCACTTCATTTAGAGGAAGCTAAGAAGCCTGGACTGTGCAAGTACCTCCTGCATGCCAGGGTCCATGACTAGGCTGGTGGGAGTTAAGTACATGGATAAATACTTGCTGGATTAGGGCTTGTGGTTAGAGAAAATCCTTCCAACTGAAACAAAACTTCCTATAAGGATCTAACTCTTAAGAAGTTTTGGTGAAGTTCTTACAGCAGGTTTTCTCATCTAATGTGAGTAGCTCAGTGCAGGACTTGGCACAGCCTGAGCAATTGTTTGTAGCTCCTGCACAGCTCATCTGCTCTGGGAGCTGATTTGTGACAGAAATCCGCTTGAATGGAGATGGTAAATTCAATTTACTTGTCGAAAAGAAGTGAAAAATTCCACAGCAGAACAATCTGGGTCACAATGTACTTTGGATTAAAAGATTTAGTAAAGACAAAGGGCCCAAACCACATAATTCTGATTCAACTTTCAAGCATCAAAAGTTTGAGGTTAATCAAAACTAGGGTTTAGTTCATCCATTCATGAAGATATCTGTGTAAGTTGGAGCTGACCCTGTGCTTGGATCTTGGGATCTGTTCAAACCCAGGGACCAGACCCTTTCCCAGTTTGCAGCAGAAAGCCCAAAACCACATAGAAAAAGCTGCTTAAATGAGAAGGCACCAGCAGAGAGAACTAGCTGAGAGTCTCTCCTGGGTCTCTGGAAACTTGCAGGTAGGAACAGGACAGAGGGATGGAAGTTTCACAGTTATTTGTATCTCCCTGAGAGACTGAAGAGCTGCCGAAATAATACAGATTTTTGCAAAACAAAAGAGACCAAACATGGGAAACCTGTGGTGCACAGGTGTCAGTCACAGTGTTTCTGGCTGTCCATTCACACAACTGCAACACTGGGCAGAGCTTGGCTCCCAGCATTTACAAAGCAATCAGTGGAACTGGAGCTCTTTTGGTGTTGCACTTATGATGCATATGTACCTCAAAAATAATTCTAAAACCTCTCCTCCGAAGGGGAACCATCCCTCCCCTCTCCTGTACAGCCCATTACCTCGTATTCATTATGAAAGCATTTGTCTTTAGGAAACACAAACAGCTCTCACGTGCATGCATATGCAAAAGAAAACAAGTACAACACCCATTTCTGTAGAAGAATATATTATTTAGCAGATCAGTTTAAAAGTAAAAAAAAAAAAAAAAAATCTGTACATCTTTGAAGGGGTTTTTTTGTTGCTTTTTTGCATCAACAAGGATAAAAATGTGTTTGCACCGTGGTTTCAGCTTTGTGCTCCTTCTTTGCTCATGCTGAAGGATCCCATGGTGTCCAGCTGTACCAGGCCACAAAGCAACCCTGCAAACTCACTAAGGTTTCTTCTGATTTCTTCTAGTGTAGAAAAAAAAAAAAAGAAAATTGCATCCACTATGCTGGGCCTCTGAATGCACTGTGAACACTATAAAATTCAGGGAATAATGCAGAGAAATGTGTAATTAGGGCCTACTGGGCAAACAAAAATGTATGCCAGGACCCTTGTCAGTATATAAGCATCTGTTAAGCTGTGCTGTAATTAGCATACTGCTGTACACATAGAGAGAGTATCTTCACTAAAACAACTTCTTCTGGTGTTTTTGGATGCCAGTGGAACACTTTCCAGGAAAAGCTCCTTAGCTAAGACTCTGATTTGTCTCTACACACTGTGGCTGACAGTTTGGTCACCAAAAAGGCAGCTCTGCTGGAGGTTTGAGCCGTGCTGCAGCCTGTGCACTGTCCGCAGGGGGAATCCTGCTGGGAATGTTGGAGCGTGGGGAACCCTCGTCCGACGGCGGCAGCGCCTGTGCAAGGAGGCTGCAGGCTGTAGATGAGGTGCCCAGGCAGGCAGGACATCCATCCCTGCCACTTCTCCTCATGCACGGTCCCAGCTGGATTTTGACGCAGCCGCCACGTCTGTTTGGCAAATACAGCATTTCTCAAAACCGGAGCAACCTCGGGGCTTGTGTTTTGTTCAAGGGCTTTTCTCGTCTCACTTTTCGGTGCTGCCGGCTGTCAAACTTTCACTTTTCTGTTTCTGCAGCTGAAAACGAAGAGCAGAGCAGGATTAGTGCCCCTGACTCACACAGTCCCGCTTTCCGCTGCTGCTGTGAGTCACACGCCCAGCTCCCCACAAGGCATGTGCCACATTTCTTGGGAAGTAATAGCCGGCAGCCTGGAACACCACAGGCACTGTTTCATCCAAACAGCTCTTGGATGCATGTCCTGAGTAAACAGAACTCAGTCTTTCTCATCATCTACTGCACTAGGCTCGCAGATTATTCATTAGATCCTCTTGTTTCGGGGTATTTCTGAATTCAAGCAGCTCCTATTTTCCTAAGACCTTTTGTGCCAATACACTGCAATTAAAGCTCCATCAGTTTGTATAAAAATGCTGTTTTGACGGCTTCTGTAAACCAGAAGTAAAATCTCAGCTCAAATTGAGAGATGAATGAGACTCAGACCGTCTAACAGTCATATTTGAGTTCTTTTTCCCTCATTTGAGAAATGCTCCTCTCCAAACTGAAGTATGTCTGAAAGACTTTGTTCTTCTTTAAAACTCAGTGCCCTCAAAGCATGTGCTCTTTGATTAACCAGCCTTAGTATCTGTGCTCCTGAGGGGCTTTTCCTCCAAAGCACTTGGGAGGGGATGGGACCTACACCGGAAAGCTGCTATTCCACTCATGGATGATCAAGTGAATGAACCTTAATTTCCCACATAACAAACAATATCAGCACAACTTGTGCTCCAGGGCACTTCCCAATTTATTTTAATGACAGAGTGGCTGATAGCATCCTGTCTACATAAATGTTTTCATGCCATAAAACCCCTACTCTGTGATTCCACTTGGGGAGGTTTTGTCGTAGACCTCAGCAGGGAGAAATGGCCCTCCCCTGAACCCTACACGCCAAAATGAGAAATGCTCTGTAAATGGAGGTCCCCACTGAGCCTTAAAATGGCCTCACTGGTTGTGTGTTTAATCCTCCTGGGTGCTGTGCATGACAGAGTAATTCCTCATAAAATTTCAAGCACACCCTTGATGGCAGACACGTGACTGGAAGTTCCTTGCCAGAAAATAAACTCATGCATTGGTGGAGCAATGCCTTGAACTGCCCAGCCCCAGGACATTTTGCTGCAGTCTAGGCCAGCCTAACTCCTTCCCAGTGGAAGGCAGATCCCTCCAGGAGGAGGTGTCTGCTAACGTGCTCCCCTCAGGCAGTTATCCCTGGGTTTTGTCTCCTGCAAGCAGCTCCCTTCCCTTGGCCACACTTGTGTGGTACCTGGTGGACTCTGCAAGGACATGTTCTTACTGTTTGTAGCACACACCTCTCCCCAGCCAGGTGTACTGGATGTGATTCTCATGATAATGATTATGCCATAAGCATTCCTGCTGTTTGGGAATTAAGCTGCAGTTTAATTACAACGTTTGGCATATTCAGTCCTAATATTTACTATATCAAAGAGATATGTAGAGTTTACCTCTTTCATAGCATCATCTATCTGTTTTAATCCCTCGTAGTGGTCCCTGGATTCCCACAGGGGCTGGAGCATCACCTCCTCCACTTCTGGGAATAGCTGGGTGAAAACAAGAGAAAGAACATCAACATTTCCTATTGTATTCATGAACTTCCTACATCCTTTCATCGTACATGCTAAAAACAGGGAGGAAGGCAGGGTGTGAACGGCGCATCCCCATTTCCCTGGCTATGTGAACACCTGATGGGGCAAACGCTGGAGTTCTGCATTGTCCCCTTCTGCTTCTGGCCCTGGGTGTCTTACCTTTGTTACTGTTTCAAACATGGGGATGAGGACGAACTTCAGGAAGCCGATCTGTGCCGTGGGCTTGGTCACTTTGTCGCGGTCCATGAACGGCGCCACTGGAAGCCCCTCGGATTTTTCTCGGTCGCTCTGGAACGAATCCAAAATTAAAAATAAAAATCTTGGCTAGAAGCCTGTGAGGAGAATAAAGTACTGCTGATCACGGGCTAAAGAGCAGTAGCCTTCAGACGCAGATCACAGAGGTGTTTGAAGGTAGCACAGAATAGCAACGTGCTTCCCTCAGGCCAATGTATCTGCTTTGTTGAGAGCAACATCTGGATAAAGACAACTCTGCTCAGTTACTTCTGCTCAGCACTAGCATGAAAGTGTTCACCTCCAGGCTTACAGGGCATCTAATTCCCTTTGCAAGCCCACTGAATTTGTGAGATGAAATATTTCAGAGCATCCAGAAAGGTGGTAATGGCTCTTGTTGCTCTGAAAGAGAAGGAATAGGTCTGTAATTTCCTCATAATTCTCCAGAGAGTGATTATTTTCAGCTATTCAACCAGAAATTACATCTCCTTCTTTTCTAAAGATTAGAAGTAGTTCTGGCTAGCCAGGTCAATGCAGAGTAGTTCCACTGAGTGCAAAGGGTTTGCCAAGCTACCTACTTCACCACATAACTCACTATTTCTAAGTGGGTTCATGTGCAAGGAGGTCATGGACTGTGTGTGCAAGAAGGACACTCTGTAGCAGATTTTATCTCCCAGTTATTGGATCATTCAGCACATGGTGCCTTTGCTGGGTGGCCAAAACAGTAAGGCATGGAAATATCGTAATTTTGAGTGAAAAATTGGACATACAGTGAGCTAGAAATGTTTCTGACACACCACCCGAAATGTCTGTCTCTTGTGAGAAGCCCTCCTTGTCATGCAGCCGACCAAAGTACAGACAAAACACCCAGGAAAGTGGTGGCATCTGCTCCCCAGAGCACTGCAGCTGTGTGTGGGCTGGGATCCCACTGCAGCTCGGACATGCACCTCAGGAGCCCATGTGCCAGAGGTAGCCAAGGGCTGCTCACCCAGGGATCCTTTTGTAAGACACCAGAAACCGTGTTCAGCTGGGAATCCAGTGAGGAGCAACGTTTGTGAAGCTTTAAGTCTGACTCTCTATACCCCAGCAAGTCTTCTGCTTCCTCTTTAGGGGGATGTTCACATGCAGTGAAAATAAACTAGTTCCTGTGTGATATTTGATATAATTTACTTGACAACTTTGTCTTGCCACTGCTCTTGTCCTTTTGGCTCAAAAATAATATATTTGTCAAAAAACCACGAGAGGCAGCTGCTTTACAGAGGACAAGCTTCAGCCTGCTGGCATTAGGATTTCTGGGTTGCTTTTGTCTTTCTTCTGAAATTTGCAATCAGTTGCATCCACTTGGCCTCTGAGCAGGTTCTCTTTCTGGCTTCCTTCTCTGACTTTCTCTAATAGAAGCCCTTCCATGGAACCATAGAATGGTTTGGGTTGTAAAGGACCTTAAGGATCATCTCATTCCAAGCCCCTGCCACGGGCAGGGACACCTTCCACTAGTCCAGGTTGTTCAGAGCTAGAGCTGGACTGGGCTGTCAGACAAGGGAGCACCTGTAGCTGAGGTTGGGCATCAGGAAAAGCAGAAAACTGTGCAATTGCATCTCTCCCTCCTTCTTACCTGCATAAAATACTCCTCTAGTAAACAATCCACCCAGGGCTCTGCTACTTCCATCGGGCGGACTTCGTTGGAGATATCACAGCATTTTATCAGCACCATCTTCAGCTGGAAGAGGATAATACTTTAATACTGCAATCTTGATGCCAGCCCTTTTCCCCCTATCCACAGCTTACAAGGCAGTGGGAGGCAATGCTTTCAACCAGAAAGGACAGTTTTAGGATTAAATCAGAGGTCTTAAATGATCTGGGCTCTTTTCCCCTCTCTCAGCTACTCTGTGTAAATCACTTTTTCCCCCTCTGGCTTGGTTTCCCTGCCTGGAGCACTGGGATGTGTCACAGGGGGACGTGCACTTATCTGCTGCCTGAAGATATTCAGGCACAAATGACCATTAAGCTTTTTGTGTAGCACTCAGAGGCAGCTGGGGAGAGATTTCCCCAGAAGTCAAAGACAACGGGATTGGGAAGTAAGGGAGTCTAGAATTTGTGCTCTTGTGGATATTTTTTATCCCACAGTAATGGACCTGATGGGACTGCAGGACTTCTAAAGCCAGAATAATCTGTTTTATATAGAGCACTTCCAAATTGTAATTATTTCTGGTGGGGCAGAGAATGTAGGAAGGATTCTTTTTTTGATATTATATATTGAATCTTGGTTTTTAAACAAACAAATATTAATCTAAAAGCTTTCACACTTATGCACGGAAAAATAACAATCCACAAAACTTCCTTACACAGGTCATGTGTTCTTCATTTGAATAATCAAAATTTTCCATTTTTTCCTTGAAAGAGTCCAGTATTTCTGCGTGTCTCGCCATGTCTGTAGCCAGGATTAATGTAATTATCCCCTAGCAAAGAAAACATGTTCACATATTAACTTGACATTCTTTACAAAGTCTACTATTCCAGAGCTAAGCAGGGTCTTTCTTACACACGGAATGCCTCAGATACATTACATTGTTCATAATGAAAGGGAGAAATTTCTGACTTGAAACTGTCAAGAAAACTTAGAAGAGGGTTATAAAGAGTTTATGGTGTATGAAAATGATGGTTGGATTGATCTGTAACGCTGCTGTGATATTCCAGAGACACATTGAGGTTTTTCCTTTCTGATTGACTAATTGTAGAAAAGCAAACTGTACAACAGGATGTTAAAAGCCGCACTCTGATTGCCAAGATCCATTTTTGGCTCCTTGGAAGGCACTGTGGGTTTTGCTGCTGACTCTTAGTGGCCCGAATAAGAGACAAAAATCATGAGATGTGGATGTTGTCTGTGCTCATCCTCTTTGCACTATGGGCTTTGAAATACTCAGATGCAGTCAATGTGTTAGGAGCTCTGCATCCCCCTGCTAGGCAGAGTTTATGGTGTGAAAACATGTGGTTAATTTAAAGCTGTGGATTTTCATACAGATTGATCAGTTCTGGGCCCAAACCTGCTTCCCATGCCCTGGCAGAATCAGTAACTCCAACCAGACCAGTATCCAAGCCCTTATATTAGTCTGCTTTTCCATTTGGTGTGTAAGGAAGGTGTAATGTGGAAATTAAGACCGAATTTTGGCCCTTCAAGCCATAATGGGAATTGTAGCATTGTTCACTGTCTCAGAGCTAACTGTGATGACTCCCAGTCCACCAGACCCTCTTCCAACAGTACAAGTGCTCTGCTTTGCCCACTTTGTAGCCATTAATAAAATGTTCCCTTGAAGCATAAACTTCTACCATGACAGCTTAATCATTCCCCAGCCAGAGCTAATTGACTCCTTCAATAATATAAATATCTCCCCCCAAAATGTCATAGGCTTTAATAGTCAAGATGTACTCATTATTTCTCAGCAAGACATCCCAGGGAGCGCTGCTGCAGAAATTTTCCAAGAACCCCTCTTGGATCCTTCCAGTGTGAGGGGCTTTTTTCCGTCCTACCCCGTAGGGAGAGCGATTCACTCGCGGGGAAGTTCGTGCGTGTTTGCACCTTCGGGGACAGTTTACACAGCGCAGACGGGAGCAGAATTCCTACCTGTCTTATCTGTTTGAATTGGTCCTGGTCGACATTGGAGAAAATGTTGTATTCTGGCTGGGAAAAGATCTGGAAAGCCACGGCACAGTGGTGGTTCTCCAGCGGGGAGATGTCGTTGTAGCGCACGGCGAGCTCGGTCCGCGCGTTTATCTGGTAGCTGATGTGGAGAGAAACAGTGAGGACTCCTGCAGACACACACCAGCTGCTCTAAACCACGCTGCTTTCTTTTATTGACATCCTTTTCAATGCTTATTCAACTAGCCGCAGTTTGGTTTTTTGACTGTTGGTGCTAAATCAGATTTTTAGAGAAAATAGATATTACTTTAATATCATCTCAGGCACTAATTCCCCCACAGGGTTATGGTGTTTTTTTTTTTTCTTCTTTAAATTTTACCAAATCTCTGTAGTTTAAAATGACATGGAAAAAAAATCCAGAAGGAACTGTCTGGGCTCCATTCAACCCCCACTAATATCAAATTGAGAGATTCCCACTGATCCCAGTCAGAATTGGGTTCTGCCTTTATTTAATGAATCATTACAAATAAATTAGATTCTCCCTCTCTTTTTCACACACACATACACGCACACAGAAGTGTGTGTGTGTGGCAACAACAATAATTTCCTCACATGATAATAAATAGAATAATATGACTTCATGATTTATAATCATGAAATAACGCTTAAGTTAAATTCCCCTTTGCGTTTTAGTGTCATTATTCGGTTATAATGATTTATATCTCTCTAAACATCTGTAAAGTATTTTTTTCATTTGTTTTCTCGGGAAAACAAGGGGGAAAGCGCTGGAAGAAATCTGAAAAATCATTTTCCTTACAGAGCCAAGGACAGCTGGCAACCCCAACCCAGACCCGAGCTTGCTGCACGAAGCTCTGCCTTGGCCCACGTGTGAGTGAACAGGAGGGCCTTGGGGAAAGGTCACGGCCAGCTGAAGCTGTGAGAAGGAAAACCTGACCTGCCAAAAAATGCCAACTGGTATTACCTTCCCAATAAATTTTAAGGGGAGAGAAAGCAAGAGACAGACTTACGTGTTGTTATAGCCTGGATGGTCCAAGTCATGGCATACTGCTGCAGTCATGAGAATCAAAATGTCAATCTGGGAAAATTTCTCCTGTGAAATACAAAACATTAATGTAATACTATGATTTCTACTTCCCCTATCATAATAAATGAAAAGAAGTATAAAATCCCCTTTATTTACTCTTTAGAGAAATGCAAATCTGAGCAAAGAGAAGTATTTTTCCATAGATGAATTTACTTCAGCCAAGAAAGAGAATTCTGTCTTCCCTTCCAGTAAAAATGACTCAGATTTGCCTTTGTTGCATTAAATAACAGCAGCTCAGAGGAGGCAATTTTCTTGAAACTTGCTATTACTGCAGAGATCATATGAAAGCACTGAGATATTAGAACAGTCTCTTACAAGTTATTTGAGCACCCTGATTAGTTAAGGGAGGGCTGGAGGGTGGCTCAGTTGCCATTGTGTTCTGCATTAATTAAAGTCAGAAGAAGAGTGAGAAAAATTAAATGTTGTGTTCCCACAGCTTCTGAATAGGATGAACTTCCACTAAAGCAAGATTTTCTTCATATTCCTGCTGGCAAGAAAACAGATTTAACCCAGTAACTGAGGTGTTTAACTGCAGAGAAGAAAAGGGGGAATATAACTGAATAAAAGCAGTTTTGTACTGCTTTTATTATATTAAATTTTATTATTTTATTTTTTAAATTTTTAAATTTTATTATTTTATTTCATTAAATTAATATATGAATGTAGGTTATCCAGACAATGAAATTAATTGATGCCTATAGTCTGGGACAAAGTACAGGCTGAATGTGAATCCTGCATACAGTGCATGCCAGGAATTATTTGCAGGAGCTCATCCAGGTGCAAGCAGACATGTGGAGAACATTCTGTGTCCCAGATGAAGACCATACCCACAGGCCATAATTCATTAGGCTTTGGGATCTGATTCCTGGATGTTTCATGCTGTCAGAGAGTCAAAAGAGCTTCAGTGTACAAATTGGGGACATCCAGGAGGTGAATTTAGCTTCCCAGCAGTCTCAGAAAGCTGTGTAGGTGCTTGGGGTCTGGAATGGGATGGATGAGTGGGCCCCACAATGGAAATGGGGTGATGCTTTTGAGGTGGGGTCATACCTGGAGTCTGCAGAGCGAGATCATGCTGTACATCATCTGGGTCACGCAGAAGCAGTGCCGGAAATTGTGGAAGGGGTTGTTTCTGTAATTGTCATGAATACACAGCTGCAGAGAGAGGGAACGAAGCAGTCAGGGACAGGAGAGCTGTTTCCCAGCCACCCTGGAATCACTGTATATCCCTAGAGGAGCCCTGTGGAGCCCAGTAGTCTTTTCTGCTAGGACAGAGTGACAGCACGAGGCCCTCTGACACACTCTGCCTTCCTTGGGGGGAGGGGGAGAGATTTCTGTGTTTCCAGAATTATTCAGCAGGTAAAGCTCACAGCAAATTCTCTCTCATACCATCCAGCGATGGGTAAACATCCCAGCACAGCTGTAATGGCATCTCAGTTCTCAGACAGGACTCTGTGCTCTCGTGCTGAATTTGTATTTCAAACCGTGCGGTGGCTAAACGGCAACTTTGGGGAGTGTGAAGAACTCGGAGCACATCCCCATTCCCCTCTTTTGCTGAGTGCAAATTGCAGCTCTGAAACCCTGAAGGCTGAAATGGGGTTGTTACTTCATCTGCAAATGCTCAGAGGTGGCACTTTGAGGACATGTTGCTTGGCAAAGCGAAGATGTGAATGCACTCACTGTAGCACCCCTACACCTGTGTGGATTTCCTAAGCCAGGCAGCACAGGAGAGATTTAGCTTTTATGGGCTCATAGGGCTGATTTTTGTGTGGTTTAACTTTCTACAGATCCTGGCTCTGTGCCCTCATTCCACAGGCAAGGTGAAGCCTGTCTTTCCCTCTGTCCTCGCTACTGTCAGCCAGGCTGGCTGAGTGAAGCTGGCACAGCCGGGTTAACACATGGCACAGTCACTATTCCAATGCTCTGGATAGCCTTTGGTATCCTGTTCCACGCAAAAAAGACAAGCACTGGCAGGACTGCTGGACCCTGCTGCTGAATCCTCTGTAACCTGGACCCTAGAGAGCCCTTATGCACATGCTTCAGGTACTGAGCCTGACTTAATGTCATGGATGGAATTCCTGACCCTTCTCCAGTTAGTACTGAATTTACTTCAAGAGTCCTCATGCCCCACCAGCATCAAACCCTTTAACCTGGGATCTGCCTTCTAGCAAGCCTCAAAGCTCTGGATTAGATCAAGAGAACTGTGCGTTTTCACTGCTTATTTAATATTTGGGGGCTTCGTTGCAAATGCTGGTCAGATTATCCTGCAGCAAGGTTTTTAGAAATTTATTTTAAAATGAAGAACTAATGGCACAGGATGGTTGGCAGCCAGGCTCACAGGTGGTGGGCAATATCTCACAGCCTCCATATGGACACCCTGGCTGTGCTCAGGCACTGCACAACACTGCATGGGTGTAATGTACACATCCAGCACTGGAGCCCAGGGCATCCCAGGGGACTCCTGACTCAGAGCACTGAAGGGATGCAGTGACTGGGCTGTATTAGTCATCCTTTCCTCCTCTTTCTGGCACATTTCTGTAGCCAGTGGATGTGAGAGCAAGAAAGCAAGTGTAGGCACAAGGTGGCTTTTTCCAACCCACTTAAGTTCACGCTGATGCTGTTGCCTAAAATCAAGGCATCGATGCCCATAGCGTGCCTGGGGAAGTATCATAGTTGGAAGAAGAGTCCTTGGGGCTTTTTTTAATCATCTTTCTGCAAAGCTAGTGTTTAAGAAAGGGAACCTCGTCCCGTCCTACCTTTGTAGAAAATACACAATAACCCCCCCTTGTTGTTCAGAAAGAATCTGTCTTAAATGCTGGTGGTAACAAATTACTTGGAGACACAAGCTAAAGGGAGCTGCCTGCAGTAATGCGCGTGGGTGGCGTGTTGATGAGTGTTGACATATCACCTTGTTTCCCATGTTTTCAGGCTGTGAAACAGGAGGAGGAGATTTTCTGTTTTATCTACTCTGTGCCAGCCTTGTTTGTATTTGGTTTCATCCCACCCCTTCTGTTCAGCTGCTTTCTAAGACCAACAACACCGAGCTTTCCATTTGTCCTTTTCTGGGGAGAGATTTCCTACGTTTTGATCATTTTTTTTGTGTCTCCTCTGAGGTAGTCATACTTTTTCTCTAAAAAGGCTTCACCAGTGCTAGGCATAAATGTCAGGTGAGCCTTATACCTTCTATGGTGACATTTTATCCCTTATTCCAGACCCTGCTCAGCCTTGTGCCTGGTTGGCTTCACTCTGCAGCAGGACACCAAGCAGTGAGAGCCACTGGTGCTTCCTGCTCTTGCTGTGCTTCAACGTACGATGAACCCAGTGTTTCCTTTGTGTTTTCTAACCACTCTCTGAATTTCTGGAATTTCTTCAGGCCTTTCTGGGAGTCTACATCCATCATGTAAAACAGTGCAAACTCTCCGGGTAATTAGAAGAGATTAACGAGATGTAGGTCTTCACTACAGGACTGGTATGAAACATCTGTGTAATGGACTTCCCACCGTGATGTTTCTAATTATTATCTCAATCAATTTGTCAGACAGAGGGGTAAGTTTCAGTAGTTATAATTCTTCAGGCTATCCCTGGATCCTTTTTAAACAATGGATTAACGGATAAAATATTTCCTGTTCTACAGTTCTATAGGAACGTGATTTTTTTTTTTCTAAGAAAGACAATATATTCTTCATCTTTTTAGCAAATGCTTTCTTATGCTCTTCCTTGTACCTGGAAACTTACTGATTTTTAAATATTCCAGTGTTTCTTCCTTATACATCTCACTTTCGGTATGATCTCATCTTTATCACATCTTACGTCTCTGCAACATTCTCAACATTAAAGGCTGAAGCAAAGGAAGTTATTTAGCTTCTCAGCAATTCCTTTCCTTCCTGGCCTGCTCCTTTGCTCCCTGTGATTTAGTACATCTAATGATTATTGGCTTTTTTTGCCCGTATCTGATGACACTCGTCTTGCCTCCATTTACAGGAGGTACCAAGAGCATTCAGCAGAAATTAGTTGCTGTCAGTAAATGAAAACTCAGCAAACAAATGCAAAACAATTAAAAAAAAAAAGTCATCTGTGACCACAAGAATGCAAACATTTTCTGAAGTACTTAAATGTTAAGAATTTGTGTAGACTGACTGCTATCAGTGGAATTACTCATGTGACTGAAGGTAATTCCACGGCCAAATGTCTCATTTATTGATTTTTGAACGTGAAAAATTGCATATATAATTTGAAATACTTACCAACCACCTCTTTAACGTGATAGGATTGATGTTGAAGTCTTTTACCAGCCCAAGGTCGTGGTACATGTGTTCCAAACAGCTCAGCATCTGCAGCCAGGAACAGACAGGTTATGGCCTTGGTAAATATCCCTTTATGATACACTGCAAAGTGAATTTCCTCCTTGCCAGCATCGAATAATTGCAGAGCCCTCTCGTTACGATGAAAGAAGGATGTTCAAAGGTTTCATGATGAAAGACAGTGCAAGAGGGGAGACAGAGAGGGCCTGAAAGCTTTTTGAAGCAGGCATATTGCTGTTGACTTGGTAGATTTTGTGCAGGGCTTTGAATCACACCAGCACTCTTCAGTAATTTAGCAATTCCCACTCAGGAAAAAGCGTTGCCATTTTTCTAACTCAGCTGGGATATGCTCTAAAGTTCAGTGAAATCAGTGGGAGCTTTTCCACTGACTCCAAAGGCTTTGGCTGTACAGAAATGTATCAAGCCTTAGCTGGATAGAAAAATGACATCAGAAAATAAGAGATCCTTAAAGAAACATTTATTCTAGGCATGTGACAATACCATCTTTCTTTACGACTTCTTGTCCTAATTCCACTATCTTAGCTCAGATCTCTTATTTAATGAAAGATCTCCTGTTATAACCCTATAAAATTGCAGCAGTTTTGTGACCATTCCCCCTAGTCTGTAACTAGGAATCCCAATAGTTGAAATGCACAGGCAGGCAGCTCTTTTGAGACAACATCTGCTCTGCAGGAGAAAAGGGGACGCAGGCAATTTAGCACCACCATTCCCATTTAATCATCTGGGCTTGAATGTATTGGAAAAAAAGATATTGATAATCCCAAGTGCTTGGGCATTTAACAGCAGCCACCAGTCAGAAACCAACAGGCTTCCAGGAATTCAGGAGTTTATGTGTCTGCATTTCCATTTCTAAAGGCTAAATCTGCAGGGGATGAAATGTAGCCATTGTATTAGAAAATGAGGTTCTTAGGCTGTAAAGCCATCCAGGAGTTTCCAACATGATGAATATAATGTCACAAATACAGCCTTGGAGATATTGTTTGAGTTAGTTTTCCGTTATTTGGGCTCTTAAAAACTCACCAGAAAAATGATTTAATCTAATGAAACTTTATATTTATCCAGGGAATAAACATAATTCGTGGGGTTACAAGTGGGCTGACTTTGAGTCATCCAAACAGGAAGAGACTTTCCTGCGAGACCTGAGGGACAGTGTCACGAACTGAATTTTGCTCAGATCACATGGACAGCATTTTGCTGAAGATCCCCTTGTCCTATTCCTAGGTAGAATATATGTTTTGCAATAGTTTCATAAAAGACTTTCTGAGACAATAAACTTGATCCAGAAGGGCTGAATTATCCTCAGAAACACCTATATCCCCCCAGTTGTTGCCAAGAGAGCTTTGGGTGAGTGACAAGGTGACTCTAAGTCCCAAAGCTCTTGCCCCTGAACACAGGAGAATCTCAGTTTTCATTTTTAGCTTTCTTGATGAGCAGCAAAAGCTTGAATAAGGGACTTTTTTAAGGCTTGAAAGTGAGAGGGCATTTGAGAAAGAGAACACAGGGTTTTGCTGCATAGCTCTGTTTACTGAGATGCTGCAGAGCACATTATTCATTTGCTTACAGATGATTATGGTTTATGACCTGCCTGTCCCACACGTAGGCAAATGCTCATTGCTAAACAAGTAATTGAAATATTGACAGAATTGAAATATTCTCTGTAAATACAAACCAGAGCTAAAAGGGTGAGATAAACCCATATGGTGCTCAGCTCAGCAGAGCTTGTGTGGAGTCTTATTTTTGAGCAGCACTCCTCCTTGCAGGGCATGCCTAATCCCCATGCTCTCTTGTTAGCCTCCTTCATGCCTCCATATAGTGTTTCCTAGTACTCTGAACGAGTTACTGTGCTAAAATATTATCCCTCAGCACTCAAGAATCCGTGGATAATGGTTTTTGTTTCTCCTTATTCTTTCTTAATAGTCAGGACAATGAGCCAACAGTGTTATGGTCCACCTGTCAGAGTGTAATTCCTTCTTGCTGCAACGACCTGACAGGAGTTTAAAAGCTGGGGGCAAGGCAGATGCATGGCCTTGGTACAGAGAAAAGGGGCTGGAGAGGGGGCAGGGGCTGCAGAGCACCTCTGACCACACGAGGGAAGCTCTGCCAGCCTCTGCAAATGGGAGATGGACCTCAAGCCACCAGAGAGTCCTTCTCTTGTTCTACCAGACAGAGGAAATATCCTGAAGGGAATATGATATTCCTGTGGATGCAGTGTGGGGTGTTTTTTCCTTGTCATGTCGGACTACAGGTGCTGAGCCAGAGTGACTCTTGTATGCACAACATCCAGTTGAGAAGGTGATTAAGGAGACTGGTGCTGGGATTGCTGCTGGAACTACCCAAGCCTCCCCTTGGGAAAAACCCAGCACTGAGTTTTTCCTGAGGGAGATTTGATTGTGTTTGCTGAACCTGAATTTACATAAGCTGTCCCTTCTTAGTATCCTTCTCCTTCATGTGTCTACAGAGGTTTGCACAGAACGTTCTGCAACACAAGTGATGGACCATGAATAATACCAGTAGCGGTAACAAAAAGAAGAAAATGAAGCAAAAAGAAAATACTAATTGGCTGTGCAGACGGCTTTGCAACCTCTTCAGAACACACTTCAGTGTGATTCACACCCCTTGGCTGAAGGGGTGTGAATCAATGCGTGAACCTCTGCCTGCTGCCTTATTGATCTGAGTGGAGTTATTGATGATGTGCTTAAGCACACACTTTGCTAGGGATTGATTTGTTCAGATAAAATGGTCTGAGAGAACTCATGTGTCAGTAATAATAGTGCATCAGTTGTGGGACATCAGTAGGAAGGGACTAAATTAAAAAAAAAGAGGAATCAGGATATGATAATCAGTATAATCTGCCTGGCATCTGTTAGGAAAAACTACTGTACATAGTTTGTGTGACATGAAAATAAAAGAAGTATAGAGAGTAGGCAGCAGAAAAGGGGGAAAGCACTGCAGACTGTCTCTCTTCTGGCCTTGTTGATTCTCAGAAAGTTAGCTAAGCCAGCTAACGTGGCATCCCTACCTCGTTGGGCTCCCACAGCCAGACGTCAAAGGTTGGTTTCCGAAGTGCTTCGATGGTCTCCTGGGACAGCATGTACTGCAGACAAAAAGGCACTTGGCATAAGTAGGGGTGTCACTGGCATGGGACCTGCTCTTGGAATGTCTCTGGGACTCATGGGGTTCCTTTTACGAGGGGCTTAGCCCATATTTCCCAAGGATGTCTCCCAACTGTCTCCCCTCTTCCCATCCAACCCTCCCCACCCTTCCCACCAGCTGCTCATGGTCATACCAGGATGTCCATGCCTGATGGATGGAGATCCTTCTAGAGCAGAGAGGTGCAGGGTTTGGGAAAAAAGGGAGGAGAGCAGAGAGGTGTTATGGACAGGGAAGTGAGTAAATCCAGCATGGTAATATAAAAGACACAGATCTATCTCTGTCTGCACTGGTTCTGCTGCCTGCAGAGCACGTCTGGTTCTGCTGCCTGCATCCAGTTATGGCTGGATGGTGTGAAGTGTCTCTGCTTACAGTGTTAAATTAGCTGGTGGGTATGATATATTTATTTTCAGATGATTTATGCTCTCATTTTGAGTGTTTTTTCGAGAACGCCCACGGTTTCAAATTGGTTGTCAGCCTGAAAGATTCGAGTGATTTTTTATCATTACGCTCAGAAGCTTAAAACAAAATCAAGCTCATTCACCAGTTACAATTGCATACAAAATGAAAACAAGGAACATGGAGGGTTAAAAGACATGGGAGATCAGGGCTCTACCATTCATCTTTCCAAGACTCCATTCATCAGAGTCGTTCTGGGACTCAAAAACCTTGTGGCTTTGATTGTGCCATTTACCATGGCTGTCCCTACTTTGGGATTATTGTCCCGAGAGGGTGAATGACGTTTTCTGAGCCAACAAATTTTTTGGTGCTTAATCCTAGGAGGAACAACTCTGAAGATCAGTTTTCCTTCTTGAGAAGGCAAGTCTTGCTTTTGCCTATATAATGTGCATTCATTGTGACGTTCTGCAAGAAAACTGCAAATTAGCAGTTCAGATTTGTTGCTGTGTACAAGATGTAACAGTGTCAATAATGACATCTCCCTTCAGTGTACTCACTGCTCCCCAGACTCCCTGGCATGGGACAAATCCAGCACCTGACAACTGATGACAAATTTTGCAAATCTCTCCAAACAGAACCCAAACTTCTAAACCCAAAATTCCCGTGAGTTTTGGTCTAGGGGTAATACAAAAATACAAACTAACGGTTTACTCTGCAGTCAATAGTGCAACTCTTCCAGCACCTGTTGTCAGTTCAAGATCCTAATATCAGAGCAGTACATCAAGGTTTGATCTGATATATATACTTATCCAGGGGGAAAAAAAATCTGATTTAGAACTGATATGTTTTGTGAAATCGTGTGTTAGTGTCAGGAGCACAAGCCTCTCGGGCAAAAGTTAATTAAAAGAAATATAAGTCCCATAGTCTTTGCTTCAGAGACCTGGAGGTCACTTTTGCCAGGCAGAGCAGAATAAACAGTAGAATTTACAGCTCGTTGCTCTGTAAGGCTCTGAAGGCAAATATGCAAGGATTCATGTCCATGTCACACACCTGCATCACAAGAAGATTTCAGAGTGGCCGAGCCAGCTTTGATGTGTGCAAGCCCATGGTTCAACTATGATTTGAACACGTGTGAGCTGGTGTTTTGTCAAGCTGTGACCTGGGCATTGAGCAGACACAACCTGTCAGCTTTTAATAACTCCTGGGGGCAAAGGCTGCCAGTGCTAGGACCAAAAATCCTGTGTTCTTCATGGTTTCAGCCTCATTCATCACTCTGGATTTGTACTTGTACTTGCCCAGGGGACATTTTTCTTCCAGTGTTACTGTTTTCTCCAGCAAATACACTAACTCATTTTCACAGGGACAATGAATCATTCCGGAGAGAATCCAATGTCGCATTTTCTCTTTGTTTCCCTGGGTGAAGCATCCCCATAAATTACTTTTTAAATTAAAAAATAATCCATTAGGAGAGAACAGGAAGGAGCACTACTTTCAATTAGAGTACAACATTGTAGGGTATTTTTGATTGTTGCTATGAGTGTGGAGAATAAACAAATATAAACCAGACAAAGGAGCATTAAATGTTGACAAATACAAAATGTTCATTAACATTTCAAACACTAATGAGCCTTCAAGTATTAAAGACTACTGAGGATTGAACTTTAAGTCACTGCAGGCAACAACAGCTCACAGGGGTTTTGGATCAGGCTTTGGATTTAGAGTAACTAGGAGATAATGGCTAGGGAGTTATGCACTGAAAAGCAGAGCTTGTCAGGATGGCAACCATGTAGTAGGATTTTGGGAAGAGGAAGCAGTGAGTGGTACCTTTGGGTAGGATGGTACATCCCTTCGGGGAGCCGGTCTCTTGTTTTCATCCAAAAAGCTGTACTTGCAGGGACAGTTAGTCCTGAAATGAAATATTCATCTCTTTGCATTTTGGGAACAGAAACACAGTGCCTTGAAAAATGCTGGAAGTACTCTAGTCTCTCAGTAGGCATCTCAGAGAATTACCCCACTCCCCAACCTCTCCCTTTCTAATGTGCTGCTGCTCAAATGCTTTAAAAGTGTGATCCTCTTTAGAATTTTCTTCCCTTGTGCAACACCTCTGTTGTCCCCCCTCCATCTATTTGCAGTCAAGGGAGGAGGGTCTGTGTATCCATGGATACTCAATCACTTCTATTTAAACCAAGTAACTTTCAGTGCTGTCCATGGCAGGCATCCTTCTCCAAGGCTGGCAGAGCCCTGCCAGGGACCATGCTGGGTATGGAAACTGGCTCAGCTGTGCTTATTTACTAGTGCAGGCACCCACTGAGCCTTATTGCAACCCAGCTCCAGGACTTGTAAAAGCTTGGGTAACACCATCCATTTTGATGGAATGACCATCTTGCCTGCTGCCTTTCATGTGGGACAACAGCAATGAGGCACAGACTTGGCAGACACATCTGCTTGGCTCCCCAGTCCTGGAGGAAAGGAGTCACTGCCAGAAATTACAGGTAATTAACACTTGCCTGGTTATTAACGCCAGCACCCACCGTCAGTTAGCTTTTCTTCCTTCCTCTGCATATTGAAAAGCCAAGCTGAGCAGAGGATCAGGGGAGACCTCATCACTCTCTACAACTCCCTGAAAGGAGGTTGTAGCCAGGTGGGAGTCGGGCTCTTCTCGCAGGTAACAAGTCACAGGAGGAAATGGCCTCAAGCTGCAGCAGGGCTGGTTCAGGTTGGGCATCAGGAAGAATTTTTTCATCAAAAGGATTGTCAAGCATTGGAAGGGGTTGCCCGGGGAGGGAGTGGAGTCCCCATCCCTGGAGGTGTTCAAGGAATGACTGGGTGTGGCACTCAGTGCTCTGGTCTAGTTGACAAGGTGGTGGTTGATCAAAGGTTGGACTTGATGATCTTGGGGGTCTTTTTCAACCTAAATGATTCTGTGATTCTGTAACTGGTGGTGGGAGACGCCCAACATCCTTAGAGCCTTCAAGAAAATCGAGGTGCTGCGCTGCAGTAGGAGAGCAGTTTCTCTCCTTACAGCCACAATACTTTAACACAGCATGTGTTTCCCAGGTATTTGTTCACATGGGCTTTATTAACTCTCCTGTGAGGCCAATCTGCTTGCCTTTTGCATTTATAGAATCATGGAATGGTTTGGGTTGGAAGGGACCTTAAAGATCATCTACTTCCAAATTCCCTGCCATGGGCAGGGATGCCATTTACTAGATCAGGTTGCTCAGGGCCACATCCAACCCTGCCTCAGACAGTTCCAGAGATCTATCCCCGTAGTTCTAACATTTGGATTATCCTTTCTCGTTTTTCAAGCCTCCTGCCAAAGGAAGCAAAAAGAAACCCCCCAAAAGAAGCCAAGCAAAGCATTCCGCTAACTTTATTTGTCCCTTTTATGACTATTTCATATATTCTGTATTGCACCTCTTTTTAGTGCTTCTCTCCTCTGTTGGGAGTTGGTCCATGTGTCTTTTCTCTTCTTAACATTGATGTCTGCTGTAATTTCTGGTGGCAGTGTCTGAATTCTGTGAAAGTTGTGTCATCTTACAGTTCATGGTGGTCAGCTGACTTCAACCAGCTGCCTTTTCCTGCCCTGTTTAAGGAGATTCTCAGTTGGTGAAAAGCTGTCTTAATCGTTTCTAAAGCTGTTTCCTCAAAACTCCACTGTGTGGGGTATTAGTTGGATAAAAATATTGAAATTGGGGCATTCCTTGCCCTAATTGGAACTGACTACCAGGGTTAGCTGAGGGTCAGCCAAATATCTCTAATTCCCAGCTGTAGTGAGATATTGGAGCCTTCATCCCAGCACACTGGGGAACACACCAGAGCCAGGATGCATCAGACCTTTACAAATGTAAAACTGTATCTGCAAATGATCATGATTTTAAATGACACTATAATGCTATTAGCATCTGCCAGTGGAGAGTGCAAAAGGCAGACAAGCAGAAAGAAAGCAATTTGAGGGAATGCAAACGGGGCTGCTCTGCTCTTCCGAAGAGGAGAGATGCACAACTCACTGTGCACGATGACTTTTATAAACCCGGCTGTTCAACCTTACTCTGTCATTTGGTAACAGCAAATATAAGAACAGGTAAACATACAGGAATACAGCTGTGTCCACTCTGATGTCACTGAAGGAATAGATGCACTCACACATATTGATGAACATTAATTAAATTCGGATGTGATCCCTGACTGCAGCTGCAGTGCGTTATCTAGCAAATGACACTGCACAGGGGATGACAAGTCTAAATAGGAGCAAATACATTTCCATTTGCCCTGGGATGCCTCTGTTCCCCTACTTATCTCATGCCAAGGGGAGAGAGCTTGCTCAGCTTTCTCTGATGTGAAGCATCCCTAGGCTGGCGTCACTTTAGGCCAGTGGCATGGCTCCTGTGGAGTTAAGGTAGCTTGGGAATAGGGATCCACAGCTCATTCCCATCCTGCTGCTGCTTGGAGACTCAAACCCTTAGGGCACAGGTAATCCTGGACAGAATTCTGGGCAAGGAGGAGAAGCTTCTGTGCAGCTGGGAGGAGGAAGACCCAGCTCCAGGTAACCAAGAGGAGCTGTGACAGGCAGCTGCCATAATGATGTGACACAGAGTGACTCAGAGCCGAGTGAGCTGGGCTCCTGCTTCAGCAAAACCAGCTGTGCAGTGTGAGCTCAGAGCAAGCCAGTGTGGGTGTCTGTGCCCAGAAATACCTGCTGATGAGCTCCACACCCATTTTTACCACAGCTTCCCAGCCTCACGCCCCACGCTGGTCTCTGGCTTTTGTCATATCTCACTATGAGCCCTCGGTGAAGACCACACCCCAGCTGGAGCCAGCTGCACTGGGAACACGTAGCACTCCCCATTCTGCCTTTTCTTAGTAACAGATTACTGTTTATACTACAAAACATAGACTGCAAGGTGACAAGACCTGAAAAACGAATGAATCATGGCTGCTGAGACAGTCTCGTACTTCCCGAAGTGTGTGGTGGCAACTCAGCGAACACAAAGTTGCCATTACTTCTGGTTTTGGTCTTAATTTTCTATCCACCTGTGCATCACTGTGCTCCTAAGTGCAGCTCTCCCAGCTCCCTACAACAGCTGAAGGAAAGACAAGCGGACACATGCATTATTCCCATCCCTGCCAGCACAAATCAGCACACGTGTTTCGCGTCTGCTGCCAACCCGAGCTCTGAGTTTTCTGACGAGATTTCCTCACACACCTCAACAAGAGATGGTGCAAGTCACAGGGCGAGCTGCAATCCGCCCTACTGGTGTAAATCTGGGGCAGACCTGAGGTTAATAATGTTACTCTGCCTTTATGCTAATATGACAGCTGAATTTGGCCTCAGACTTAATGGGAATGTATTATTGTTGTGCCTCCTGACATGTCTGGATAACAACATTTATAAAAGCGAGTGATTATAAAGTCTGAATCTTTTAGTGAGTCTCCCACTGCCCTCAATAGGAAACAGTTTTGATTAAAGGTCAGAGAGTTTGACTCCAGATGAAGAAAATGAGAGAGGCTGTCAAGACAGCATATTTACATTTGCTGAGAAAAATCCTCCTCAGCCACATTTTGAGGAACATGGTGTATCCCTCCTCAGCAACCTTCCCAGAAGTATTCCTAATCTCACAGTGACAATTTGTTTGTCCTAATGGGATATTTCAGTGACACAGGGGGGCACTTTCCAGCAGAGAACACGTACTGTACAAAATGCAATTTTTTTCTGCTGGTGTTTTAATTACAGTGAAACCAAGCTTCACAATCACAGTGAGCCCCTGAATCAGAAAGCAAATTCACAATTTCTTGTTGAATTTGAAAGGGATGATTTATAATAGCATGAGATCATAATTAGAAGAGCTGCTACATATTTATTTGGTGTTTTCCCAGAACATATTGGAGTGTTAGCTGGTTCTCAACCAAACACTGCACTGAACAGAAGTTCTTTTCCCATTCCCTCTCTCCCAGTAAATCTGGATGAAGAATTCCCACTCTGTATGGTGAAAAATAACTGTTGCAAAACCTTTCCCTCTATTCCCATGGCCCAAGCTAATTTAACTGATGAATGGCTATAGATCTTCAAATGTTAAATTAAAGCCACCGTCCTTAATGATTTTCAGTTTCCTCGCTCTTTTACTTCTAAGCCCAGAAGGTAACTCAATTCTGCGGAAATGTTGCATTCGGGTTTGGAACCAGATCCTTATTTCTGTGGTCAAGTCCAAAGCAGAACTTACCTGCTGCTTCTTGCTGCCATTTCCTCCCTCATCTTTTTAATGTCGCGCTTGCATTTCTCAATCTCCACCACTTTCAGGCCTTCCACTGTCAACAAAGGAAAACAACAGGGGTGTTACCATGGCAAAAGTCGCGGGATCTCTTTTCAAAGAGCTTTAAACAGTGGGGTTATCCAGTGAGCCAGCAAGCCCTTACAGACTGCCTTGGTTCTCACACATGCAGGTGCTGCCAAAGCGATATATCTTGGAAACCCACAGGAATTCTCTGCTGCCAATTTAGTTAATAGCCACAGTATTTTTAATTCACAGAAGGGCTACAACGTCTCAGCTTTTCCAGGATTGTTAGCAGCAGTCGGCTGTTCTGGTGCCTTCACTTCTCTGCTGTAGAACACGAATCAAAGGAAATCCTGAGCAAAAAACCCCTCCCGCGATGGGATGATAAGCGCAGGCAAACACGTCCCAGTAGGATTAGAATTCCCATTAAGATAAAAGGTTTTAATCTGAAAGTTCACGCAGAGCATTAAGGAGCTCTGGGCTGCGTTGCTAGATACAGAAAAAAAACAGTGAGAATGCGGGAGGGAGAGAAAAACGCTGAAAAGTTTTGCTCTAATGATTGATTTCTCTCTCCTTTTTTTTTTTTTTTTTAGGCATTGAAAACCTGTCACTTTGTTTTGCCGATCAATTTTGTAATCAAAGGTTGTTTCTGCATGTGGCTCAAAAATCCTATATTTCCCTTCTGTACGTAACTGTGAGAGCCACAAGGCAAAAAGTTTGATTGCCTGTTTATGCAGCACACACTTTATTGTAGCCATGAGAACCCAACTCAGTGTGAGTATGAGTATTCTCCCTTTTCTTTCCCCCTCAGCTGGAGTATCATTGTGCTCAAGGACATAACACAGCACCATTTATTACGTATATGTCATTCATATGCACTCATTTCACAGCTCATTTGTTTACTGGACTCACTGTTTGCATGGACAAGCTGTGGTTCAGGGAACTCCAGGGAATGTGCAATCGGACAATCAGTATTCAGTAACCTTCTTGGAAAATCACAGTCTGAATCACACTTATCTGGAGAGCAGCATGTAAGTGATAAAAACCTGCCTTGAAGGGCACAACTCTGTAGATAAGCAGAGACCTCAGTTTTGTTTTTGTTTTGCCAGTAACAACAAAGGTTGCTGTTGGAACTGGGAAAGAGATGTGTATGAACCAAGCCCAAAATATTAGGAGAGGAAAGGGAAAGGGGTTTGATCTACGCTTGTTTACAGGAATATACTCTGTTTAAAAATCCCATGTGCAAATTTATATTTTTTTGTCTATCATTGTTACAAGCAATTCCTTTGGGTGATCACAATGTGATGCCACAGGTAAGTCACTGTCCTGCTCGTTCAAGATTTTTGTTCTGGCTACCTGGCTGCACTTTTTTGGGGTACTTTGTTCAACTGCTGATGACCAGCTCCAGCTGAGCCACAGGCCCTTTGCTGCTGTGTGCCACCTTGGTTCATTGATCCATGAGAAACTCATGGGTGTCCCATTTGCCGAGCTGTCTAAATGGTGTCTGGTGCCTGTTTGAAGCAGTGGGAGCAAAGCAGAGTTACCAGAGTGACAGGGAATTGGGGCAGGCAACTGCAGGGAGGAGTCCTGGTGCAAAATGGCAGCCCTGAGGATTTTTTCGTGTTGCATCTCCTTGGTTTTCATCCCAAGCCTCTCCAGGGGAGCAGAGAATTTACATAATTATTTTCTTAAGGTAGATGTGAGATGCTTACAAATTGCAAAGGGCTTTTGCCAGCTTCCCTATTCATGTGTGGGCTGCTGTGCAAACACTGGAGCAGAGTGAGTGAAGCCACGGGACAAAGCATTCCCAGTGCTTGCTCGGCGTGGACTCATTTTCCAAGGGGAAGTGACAAGCTTTAGCTGGGATTTAAAAATCAGTTAAAGAATTTGGCTCCTTGAAAACACATCTCTGACGTGGTCTCTAGGCAGGAATGGGAAGGAAGCTGAGAACATTCCATGTGAGGTGCAGATGTAGCGCTGTCATGAGCACTTATCCACACACACACGTCCCCTCTGGGGAAGAAATCCTGGAGATCACATGTGAAAGTGGTGGAAAAGGGATCTCTGAAGGAGGCAGGAGTAAAGGCAAAATAAAAGCACGATTCTTTTCACATTTGGCTTGCAAATGATAAATGGCCTTGTCATATGCACTGATTAAGGGGCCATTATATTATTCTGCAGCAAGAAATACCTTCTGAAAAGACCCTGTGCTGTCTAAATAAATCCTTGGGCTGAATCCAGCAATGAAACATGGCTCTTAAAGCAACCTCTGGGAGCCCAGCTCGAGCAGGGAGGTTGGACACTCCCTTTCTCCCACAGTTTTGCGTTTTAGACACAACAGCCAAGGATTCTTTCAGAATGCTGCAGATTTAGCCCCACTGCAAACTCTGGAAGTCCAATTTCGAGCAGATGGGTGCACTTGTAGACCTGCAACCTGGGGAGCTCCTTCCTTCCCACAGGCTGAGGCTGCTGGAGCTGGGACTGGGAGTGCTCAGGGAGACTGGCAGCAGATTGGTACATCAGATGCTAATTCCATCAGCAGAGAGAACCCTCGTTTGGGGACCAGGGAATTCAGTTCACCTGCATGGCACAGCAGCTCCAGGTAGGCTGCCTTCCCTAAACCAGCAATAAATTGCTGGAGTGTGCACGTGCACAACTTTTCCCTGCTGGCAGTGTCATGAAGTCCTTCCTTATCTCCCTCCACTGCCTTGGGCTGCCAATGCTGAAGGGCAGCATGTGTACCGGGGATCACCAGGGGTCAAAAGCAGCCCTTATCTGGCTGGGATGGTTGCTTCCCTGCGCTGCCAAGGAGATAGAAATACCCACAGGAACATTTGCCTCATTTGCTCTAGTCCATGGCATTTAGCTCTGAGGACTGGAGCTGGTCAGAAGTTTCATTGAAAATGCAGAGTGACTGAGCTAATTTCTCTCCCCCCCCTCCACCCTCTTTTGGATAAAAGAATAAATCAGTGGAGCCCTGGGAAAAACAGCAGCCAAACAGACAGGAGGAATTCCTAATCAGGCTTTCTGCTGGGTGTAGGCACACTGCAGGCTACCCCCTCCATGGACATCCCACAGCACCAGGAGCCTGAGGCTGGGCTGGCTACAGGGAGAGGTTCCCCTGCAGCTGCTCTTCGAAGAAGAACATTTTTTTCCTCTCCCTGCTGACAAAGGCATCAGTCTCACTGAGCAGCTGCAGGGTCAAGGTACCTTCTGGTTGGGGGGAAGTTTCAGGAAAACAACTTCTTCCGTGAACCAGAAACTTTTTCTTCTTTTTTTTTTTTTTTTTTTTTTTTTTTTTTTTTTTTTCCCAGCCAGCTCTAGTGGGAAAGTGCTTTCTGCAGCTGCAGTGCTGGGAAAGGCTCTGCCCACTCCTGACTCCAGTGCTGTGCACCTGCAAGGATGTGGCCTTTGTAATCGAAATGGTGCCGGGTGACAGCGCCTTATTCACACCCCTTCCCCGCCTCTCTGGGACCTATGTTCGGCATAACATACTGAAAAGAACTCAGATGATGCACGGGGGGGGGAAAAACAAATGAAAAACCAGAATAGGAGCTCTTTGACCAGGTGAATTTAACTTGGTTGTCGCACAGTAACGCGGTCGTGTTACGGTGCAAGTGTCTGACTGACAGGGAAGGAGGGCAGTGGTGTTACCCCTGGAATTGCAGACCAATTGCCCCAGGGAGTGCTTTTAGGGACCAAGAAGTGTGTGTGTAGAGGGATGGAGGGTCACTGCTGGGTGCAGGGAGGTGACAGGAAGCTGGGTCAGGGGGAACATGGGAGGACAGACCAGGGGGCTGGGATGTGGAAGACGGGGAGGTGGGCAGTAGAGACCTTCTGCCACAGGGACATGGGAACACGTGGCCCTGGGCCCAGACATCAGCAGAGGGCTCGGGAGCCCCTCAAAGGGGAGGCTGGGAGGTGATCTGGACACTGGACACCAGCCATCCCACCCTGTCCTCACCGTGCCACCACAGGCTCCCACCATCCCCACGCCTCATCCCACGCTGGCCTGCAGACTTTTGGGATCAACTGGGCCAAATTATGAGGGATTAGGAAAACAGAGGGGGCTGTGATTATAGCAGGGGTGATTCTGAGGCACCGGTTCCCACTGCAATAGGAATAAAGGGACACTCACATTCAACCTTTTTCTCCAGCATTGCCAAGTGATTAGCTACTTCCGTTTTCAGCTCATTGATTTTAAAAACCCTGAAAAGAAAACCCTCATGTATTAATGTTATACATTTAGTGCTGCACCTACCCTAGGTACTAAAGGACTTCTGCTAGAAATGCCTATATTTTTTTCAGAGGATGGGTCTTCCCAACCACGGCTGCCGCAAGGAACAGCAAATTTTCCATGGAAATGCTAACATTTGGGCAGAAAATACACCCGGGTTTAATTTGCAGAAAAATTAACAGCCAATGATCTTTTTATGGCCCTGGGAATGTACTGTGGCTCTGCAACACTTCATCACCCCCTCTCTCAGCAGTGAGTTGCCATTGTAACCCCCCAGGGAAGCAAAGTTAAATTGATAATGCTTCGTCTAACAGCAGCGTCTTGGTGTCTGCACGCTCTGAAGCCCTCCTCCTCTCCTCCTTTTGAGTTACACTGGTGATTTGCTGAGCTGTGGTGGGATTGATCTGTCTTATTGAAACCAGCTGGAATGAAATAAGCAGCTGTACAGATGTTGAGAAATCCTCTCGGAGGAGAGACATTTTTGGGTGATAAAGGGGAAAACGAAACAAGTCAGATTATTCGACTGTTCAATGAATGAGCATTTCTTTTGCTTCCTAAGAGGGAAGGAGCACAAGAAGAGTATTTATATTTCCTACTTCATCTCCTTTTCAGATCAAAGATAATCACCAAAATCACTTTTGGTTTAAGCTACTGTATTGCTGTCGGCAGGAAATAACACGTGTCCCAGACCTAAATTTGGCAGACAGAGTGGGATTTGAAAGAGGTCTTAAATGCCCCTCTGCCTCCTGTGAAAATTTCACTTCAGGCTGATAAAAGAAATAGTATTTTAAATTAATAATGATGTTCAACTTCTTACCTCGAGAACTGCTCTGCAATCTGTCCCAATAAATTCTGGAACAATTCTTCTTTCTCTGAAAAAAAAATCAGAGGGAGGCATAACAGAAAAACAGAGGAGAAAGGATGCCTTCAGCTCCCCTGCAATGTGGTGTCTCCAGTCTTCCAGCTCTGGTGGTGAGGCATTTTGCCAAAAAATTGCTCTGGTCCTTTGAACAGTGACAGGGTTTGGGAATGACTCCTTATCTCACCTGCAGATTACAGTCAAGGGTTCTGGGTCCCTGAGAGTTGGCTTTCTTTAAGGCAGCACTCTTTGGATAGGAGACACCTTTCACATTTCTTGGGGGGAACACCCAGAATCGCTGTCCAGGTTTGAAAGGTCTGGCTCACAATTACCGCCCCTACACCATCAGAACACTGTGACAGAGTGCCCACTAACAACGCTACAGTTCATAAACACACAAAAAAATATCCAGATTGCCTTTTAGTTTTACTCTGGGACATTATTTTGGCGCAAATTCACAAGGATCAAGCTGCTATGCATTAACTTCAGACAAACATGAGATGACAAAGTGACTGTCCTTTAAGAAGGAGGTCCACCCTTCCTGGTTTGTGGGATGGACACAGCAGGGTACAAGCTTCTCAACCCCTTTCCCTTGAGAACATAACTGGGACAGAGCTGCCACAGGGATCCTGTCAGGATCTCATTGCTTCCTGAGCTACTGCAGCAGTGGCCACACTGGGAACGCTTGTGCCAGCAGCTCCCCACCTCCCACTGCCAAATCCAGCTCTCAGGCTCTTCAGCTGGCTCAGGGGAAGCCCCAACCTCTCCCCAAGACAATCACAGGACTGCAATCACTAACACAGGGAAAATCAAACAAGCCCTTAAACCAGGACTCTAGATTTCGAGGGACAGTACACTTTAGGAAGGAAGACGTGAGATAGTGATGTTTTCCCACCTTTCAGTGTGTCCACACTGTGTTCACACGGACGGGGGGGAAGCATAAATCACCTTTGCTGAACTGTGAGCTGCTCTTTTGGGATTGCTCCCTCTTTCCCCCACCAGCTAACGCAAACTGCACTGTGCTGCAGTCATTCCTGCTCCTGCACTGGGGTGTACTCTTAGTTTCTCGTGCCCAAGGAGAGGAAATGCTGAATGCACTCATATACAGCTCACAGATTACAGAACACCCATTTGTACCCCACTTAGAAATACCCTGATGGCATTTCTGCAGCTACTTCATGCCCTTCCCCGAGGGAACACGATGCCTCACAAGCGCAATCACCCAGGCAAAACACATCAGGCAGAAATACAGCCCAGCATTTACAATGTATTTCTAAATAATAGCTCTTGTACCTGTTGAAAGGATTTGCAATTCTGCAGGTATTAGAGGTGTCAGAAACACTTGTCAAGAGCATTCATAGTGCTGGTCAAAACAATTTGGCTGTTACCCCTGTGTCTCTAAACTGGAGCAAGCAATCTGTGCTCTGCAAGTCTCAGATCTAATTCCCTCTTTTTTTTTCTTTTTTCTTTTGCTATGATCCAGCTCCCAGTGGAGTGGCTAGCAGAGCAAAGGAAGAGATTAGTTCTCTTCACAGAGACCCATTTTTCAGTTTTCCCACAAAACCCAAGCGCTAAAACAAAGCAAATGCCACGTCCTATTTAAGGCAGGAGGAAAACTTACCGTGTGCTGCACCTGGGATGGCACCCGAGTCAGACAGTGAAAATAAGCGGAGAAACCCGTGTCCTCTCACTCCAATGCTGCTCAGCCCTCTGACAGTGGCTGTAGCGTGCCAGAGACTGACAAGTTCCCTATAAACACCGTTCCAGTAAAAAAAAAAAAACCCAACAATCTTACTTTCACTCCCTCCCCCTGTCAAAACTCACTTGGAGTACTAGGAAATTCTCATCCAGGGAACAGTCAGCTGCAATCTGATGTTTATGGATGTAATAAAAGACTTTCAAAATGAAGATGTATGTTTTTATAACCCTAGGGTGCAGTAAAGATATATGACTAAGAGTGGCAGTTCGTCTCATCTTAAAGAGACAAAGATCCATTTCTCTGCCCTGTTCCTTTCTGAGGGGGAGACCTCTGGTAACCCCTGTTTCTGAAGGAAATGAGACGTTGTTCCAAGATCGTGTAGTCTCACTTGTCCCCTCCTTTGTAGAACAGGAGGGTTAGGTGTGCTTTTACGCTCTTTATTACCCTCTGTCTTCTTTTTTTTATACGTCTGGGCAGGGCTGATAGCCCAGGTGCACACAGATACCTTTTCCCTCAGCTTCTTCATTTCTTTTGCTGTGATTCCCTCTGTGAAAAGGAAATCCTACTGCATGTAGCTTGGGTACCTTGCCCAGGGTTTCCTGCTGCAGCACCCCAAAACCCAACAGCAACTCTGTTCTCACCTCACCCCCCCACAGCAGCACCGTGAACGTGCAGCGTTTGCAAATGCAGGCGCTCATCAAGTCAGATTTCTGCACGACACACAGGGTGTTTTACACCTGACAAAAGAAAATCAGAACCCACCCCTCCAGAAGATGCTGCAATCGTGTAATTCTGGGCAGGGGATGGCCGGCTCAGGCTTCCCCGGGCTTCCCATGGCTCATTCCCGTGCTCGCTGCGGGCACAGGGACTTCGGCTCCTTGCCCGTTGGCCTCTGCCAATCTCAGCAGGGAGCTTGGCTGGGACATCACAGAGGAAGGAGCCATTTTGCCTTGTCTCCAGCAGGTCAGGGAAGAAAGCAGGTGCGGGGCAATATGGCAGGAGCATTTTTTCCTGTGACTCCCACCGTGGCCGGATTGGAGGGCTGGCAGAGAGTGCACACCTTCCCTGCCGGGCGGGGACCAGGGACACGCTGAGGCAGCTCAGGTTGCCCTGCACTGACACAGATGGTTTATTACCCACTGCCAAGTGCCCTCTGCTTTGCACCGCCCTGCTCAGCAATAACTCTTCCTCTACTCTCTTACCAGCTGGGATCAAGGCCAGGGAGCCACCTCCATCCTCCCACTCTCCCTGTCTCCCCTTGCCATCCTGCCAGCCCCAACAGGCTGCAGGCAGGGACTGCATAGGGTTTGGGGAGGTGGCTTGGTTTCCCTCCATCTTTTCTGCTGTGGCCAAGAAAGGCTGGAGCATGGGCATCTCCCTCTCCCTGCCAGCACCAGGCTGGTGAATTCATAGAATCATAGAGATAGCTAGGTTGGAAAGGATCTCTGAGATCATCAAGTCCAGCCCTTGATCCACTACCACCGTGGTTACTAGACCATGGCACTAAGTGCCACATCCAGTCTCATCTTAAAAACCTCCAGGGACAGAGAATCCACCACTTCCCTGGGCAGCCCATTCCAATGCCTGATTACCCTCTCTGTAAAGAATTTCTTCCTAATGTCTAACCTAAACCTTCCCTGGCAAAGCTTAAGACCATGCCCTCTTGTCCTACTGACAGTTGCCTGGGAGAAGAGATCAAACCCCACCCGGCTACAACCTCCTGCCAGGGAGTTGTAGAGAGTGAGGAGGTCTCCCCTGAGCCTCCTCTTCCCCAGGCTGAACAGCCCCAGCTCCCTCAGCCTCTCCTCACAGCACTTGTGCTCAAGTCCCTTTACCAGCCCTTGTTGCTCTTCTCTGGACCTGCCACATTTCTCAGAACCGATTCTGCCTCTGGCTTGGGCTTCTGTCTGAATTTCACTTTTCGTGGTTTGTTTGGATCTAGGTGGTCAGGGTAATTAAAAAAAACACAGGTGGACAGAAGCCTCACGAAGGGGTGTGGGCTTCAAGCCCACCTCCGTGAATCACATCATATGGAGCACTGAATTCACTTGGCAGCCCAGGTTAATTTGGGTTCCTGCACACAATTTCCCAATCAGGTGAGTAATCCTGAAGCAGCTGGCCTCGTCCCAATGCAGGCATCCATGTGGGAGATGCATGCAAGGAGCAGCAGACAGGAGGAGGATTTTGGTCTCACAGTCTCTGCCTCTTTGGTCTTGCCTGAGCTGCAAGTGTGAATAAGCCTCCAAAAGGAGAACAGAGATGTTCCAGAATAAGAAGATTTAGACACAGTGACAAGCTTCTGCCTCTTCACCAGCAGCAATCTGCACAAGATCTTGTGTATTTAATCATACAGGGGGGAAAAGCAGCCCCTGCAGATCTCTGGTGCAGTCACTGGTGGGCTCAGTAGTGGTGGGCAAGGCAGGGTTAGCACCAGTTCAGACCTGGGCCCTCTAGCAGGCAGCTACACAGGTCTTGGTTGTGCTGTTTCTCCCACTGCAAGCCAATATTCCTGGGGAGAGACCCTCTGTGCAGGTCCTAGAGAGCACATAAGCTGAAAAGGCAAATAACTGAGCAGTAAGTGGAGTGGGAGGTGAAGGCTCTGCCTATGGCCTCAGGCTGGTGATGTGGCTCTGATACATGGCCAGGATCCTGTCACTGGGCTGCTGAGCATGGAGGGGCAGGTGGGGAGCCCTTCCCACGTGCTGGCCTCCACCCCAGTCAGGCACTGCTCTCTTGGGTTTGCTCACTCATTTCCCCAGGGATAGGGGGATGCTTGTTTTGAAGGATCCACCAGAATAAGCTGGAGACAGAGGTGCAGAGAGAACTTGGGATAACTCAGCACATCTTGTGCTCTTTCAGGTCGCATCCCTGGTGAGATCTTTAATGATTTGTTCAGCCGCCCGAGTGCTTTGCTGCCCTAACTTTGGAGCAGTAGGAAAGTCCCTGTGCAGGTTTTCCTGCAGCAGATGAGACTCACTTGATCTTCCACAATAGCTCCTTTCTCTGCACTATCAGAAACACGACAGAGTCCAATTTTATTTCTCAAGAGCGTACTGCTAGTAGGATTTGTTCATTTAATTGTCATCTCCATCAATATTGCAGAGTGCCTGAATCCTGCTAATTGGAGTGACAACATAGCCATTTGTTTGTGAGTTTTGAGCCAGTTCCGCCACGAGGACACAGACCAGAGCCCTTCTGCTGTCGGGAGGGAGAGGATGCCAGCTCAATGGGCTTGGGAGTTTTAACACCCCAGAGAGAAGGAAGGGTTTGGCACTGGGGGGTTGATGCTCTGCTTGGACAGCCATGTGCCTTCTGGTCCAGGGCCACAAGAGGAGGGACAACACGTGACACGACAGTCCCACAGGCTCAGAGCAGCTCAGCCTTTGCCTTTGCCTTGCAGACAGCTGACCCCTGATACAACCACTGTATCCAACCCTCACTGGAATAATAATTTTTTTATTTCCAACGGTCTCCCGTGACTGTGGCCAGGAAATGAAGAACAGTTTCTTAGCAGGACTCTGGTGGATATCTCCTCTGCTGGATAAAAGCCACTGCTTATATTTTCCTCCCGAAGGATCATATTTTCCAGTCCCACCTTTTACAGTCTTTGTTCTGTTGAAGTGTGTGTCATTCTTCTCCAGCTGCCTGGGAGACTGATGAAAAGAGGTGCATTGCCTCCCACTGCTGTGAAAATTGGGATGATCCCCTTTTTGGCATGTATTTGGATGAGTTGCTTTGGGAAGCAGAATCACACAGGCAGAGTTGTTTAAGAAGTAAAGACTAGAACAGAGCTGGGTTTTTTTATTCTTCCTACTCTCAGCAAAATGTCAGGAATGCTTAAGATTAATGACAACCCATGTGAAAGAGAAACAGATACCAAGGAACATTAGCTCCATCACACTCAGTTCAACTTTCACCCCCTTTCCACAGCAGACTCTGTCTTATGTTTTGGCAACCTGCGGCCAGAATTTTTCTTGCCCTTTGCAGCTTAGATCTTTGGAAATCCTTGTTTTATAAAATGCAGGGAGGGAAGAGAGATCTCGCTGACACAGTGAGCTATGTTCTGCACAAAGCAGAGCCATGTGCTGTCAGCTGGGGATGAAGAATGAGGGCCTTGGGAGAGTGCGAAAAGTTATACACAGTCTTGTAAAAATATACGGTTAGCTTCGTGTTTGGGGAATAAAAAAAAAAGAGGTAGATTTTCTAGAAAGCCCTTCAATCAGCTTCCCAGCTGGTATGACACAGTGGCATTCCCTGGTAGAGCCATGCTGGCCCCATTTGCTGGTCTTTGTCTTGGGGCAAATGGCTACAGGTTACCCACACCAGCTGGCACACAGGGTGTGCACATGCTCCACCCCACCTTTTCTGATCTGATAATGCAGATACTGCACTCCTGGACCAGAAGAGTGATGCTGTTCCAGCAGTTTGTCACAAGGAAATAGCTCAGGAGACACCTTCTTTTCCCTTGGCAGCCATGTGTGTCCCTTGGCTTTGACTACCTCCTTCTGGCAGGAGCGGCAACCACTGCTCATGGCTTGTTACAAATCTTAACTGTGGTTAAGATCTTCCCTGTTTCATAGCCCCTTTGTTCTTTTTGCTCTCCATTTGCCTTTGTCCTCTGCATGCACAGGCTCCCTGCTGTTGCCTCCCTGTCTCCCCCACATCCTCCTACACCGCCTTGCTCTGCCTTTTTCCCTACAGATGTTTCTGCCACAGTGGATGCCTCATGGAGTGGCTTTGGTTCCCTGTGCCTCCCCATCTAAAAGAAGACAGTGCTGTGAGGCATTTTCTTACATAATACAGGAACCTAAGCAAGAACAAGGGGTGGGACTTGCAGTGAGAGTAAGGAGGATGATGAGGTGGGACCAGCAAAACTGCATCACTCCTGTCCCAACAGACTCACCCGTTCCTGCAAGATGCTTTTTCCAGCCCCAGGCTTTCTGTCTCACTCTTGGTCTTTCTGTGCACTCTGTGTTTCCAAGATAATCTTAACCTCTTGCCCTTTGTCTCTCCTATCTTCCCATTTTAGTGCTCCAAACAGTGTCCCCAGCTGACATCTCCTATCCTCCTGCAGTCTCTGCCTCAGCAGCTATTCCCTGTAGCTCCACAGTGCACAGGCTCAGGCTCCTGCTCAGGCTGCATTGATGTGAGTGACAGAAGATACTGCATCTGCACAGATGAGCAAAACCACGAGCCAGATGCTCGACAGGAATTGCCCCAAGCAAATGTTCTGCTCCAGTGTCTGAGAGCTACAGGGCTGAGCATGACACTGGCACCATTTCAGTCCTGTCTGTGGAGTACAACAGTGCTGTGGATGAGGAATGTGTTCCAGATGTGTTCTTTCACCCAGGCCTTCTTTAATCTTGTCAGGTGTGTTTAAATATTTATCACAGTTAGAGCTACCATGCCCACAGCAGAAATTATGTTCTCTCCTCACCCATTTGGAAATAACATGGGGCTCAAATGTTTTGCTCAGTTTTCCAGCAGAGCTTTGCTGAGAGATGAATAAGTTTCACAAAACACTGCAGGACAGGCTTTCACATATTGCCTGTGTTGCCTAAAAAAACCCCACTGCTCTGTGCAAGACTTTTCCAAGGGCATCAGGAGTGCTGAGTCAGACCAGGACGAGGCATGGGGAAAGTCCCCTGGACCTCAGCCATTCACCTCACCCTCAAATTCTTTGAAATCTAGGGACATTTTTAAAGCTTCCCTCCAGAACACTGTGATCAAACAACCTTTATTCTGCTGTAGCCACAACCATGACAACATCACCTTTCTTTCTTCCATCATAGCCACATAATTTCCACATACAAATGTTCACAAATTCAGCGGTAGTAAATTAAGTACAAAAGGGTTGTTTTACCTGAGAGCTGCTCAGTGCCAACAGGTATCACTTTGTATGGAGACCTGGAAGAGTCAGAGAGGGTTGATGTTAGCAACACTCAAAATGCAGTTTGTATTTCGGGCATTTTTCTGGACCCACGACCCTCTGATTTACTAGAGACAGAGGGAACCTTATTGTGCTGTACTGCCATGCAACAAACACGGCAAAAATGCCTCCTCTTTGGCAAGCCTTGACATCTTGTGGACTGAGATGGTGAGAAAATTTGGTAGGTCAGAAGGGAGCTCCAGTGGTGGGGATCATCTTTTTGCTCTGTCTTCACACATTGTCCTGTGATGCAGCTCCCTCCCAGTTGCTGGGGCTCCACCACAGGGTATCAGTGAGAGTAATGGCAGTGATAAACAATAATGAAATAAGTAATGAAGGAGTAACTGCCAGCAGTCAGTGTGAAACGGAAAGTGCCAGGCTGGACAAGCAACAGGAAACCAAAGAGGAAAAAGAGAAAGGGATCTGGAGACGGGAAGGGCCAAAACCAGCATGGGAGAGACCTAAACTCATCAAAGACTTGGACTTCGCTTTTCAAGT